CGCTGCAGCGGGAGCACGATTCGGAACGAGCGGTAGCCGAAAAAGAGGCCAGCGTTTCAGCGAGACCAGCATTTTGAAAAACACATGCGCGGAAGCGCGGAAAGGAGGACGCGTAGCCTGACATAGCATGACATGGCGACGCCCCAAAGTGGTGGAGGGGCTTCCGCGGCCCAGAATATCAGCGAATCGACACCGACTATGTAGTCCCGTCCAGAGGTTTTGTTCGGGTGGGCTTTTTCTAGATTTGGGGGCCTGCTTGGAAAGTCCGAAAACAATGCCGTGGCATGGCGCTGGAAATAATGACGCCAGCGCTGCAGCGGGAGCACGATTCGGAACGAGTGGAAACGCGGAAATGAGGCCAGCGCTGCAGCGGGAGCACGATTCGGAACGAGCGGAAGCGCGGAAATGAGGCCAGCGCTTCAGCGAGAGCAGCATTTTGAAAAGGAGCCCAAGCAAAAACCCAACTCAAGGGCATCCTGGGTGTAAAAACCATACGCGGAAAAGGGGCTGGACACTCCCCGGACGCCACCAGGGGAGAGAAGAGAGTAGTACTCATATTGTGAATTGTTGAGGGAGGAGGAGGAGTGGGGAGGGGGGAGGGGGAGAGGGGAGATAGGGGGGGAGGAGGGGGAGGGGGGAGGGGGAGGGTGCGCTCGCGTCATATCTGACGTCCAGTCCCTCCCTCCCATCCCTTACCATGGCGTAGATCTCCTATCTATTCGCACACTTGGATGTCGCAACATGATATAGCATTACATGGCATAGCATGGTGCTGAAGATCAGCGCGTAACATGACATATCATGGCGTGGCGACGCCGCAAGGTGGGGGGGGTTTCCGCGGCCCAAATATCAGCGAATCGACACCGAATGTGTAATCACTTCTGATGGTTTCTTCGGGGGGGGTTCTAGATTTTGGGGCCTGTTTGAAAGGACTGAAAACCATGCCGTGGCATGGCGCTGGAAGTAATGAGGCCAGCGCTGCAGTGGGAGCACGATTCGGGACGAGCAGATGCGCGGAAATGTGGCCGGCGCTGCAGCGAGAGCAGCAATTTGAAAAGCAAACCCAAGCGAAAACCCCAACTCCTGGGAATCCTGGGTGTAAAAAGCCAATGCGCGGAGGGGGGCTGGACATTTCCCGGACGCCACCAGGGGAGAGACGAGAATAGTATTCGAATTGTGTAAGTGTGGAGAAGGAGTGGGGAGGGTGGGGGGTGACCGCGGAAGAGGTGAGCGACGAGGAGGGAGTGGGAGCGCGAGGGGGGAGGGGGAGGAGAACAGGAGAGAGGAGTGTCACAAGGGAGACTGGGGGGGGGTCGACCAGTATGAAGGGGAGGGGGTTTGAAGAGGAGAAGAAAGGGGAGGACAGGGAGGAGGAGGAGGAGGAGGAGGAGGAAGAGGAAGGGGAAGATATACACAGCTATGAAGGCGAGGGAGGGCGCAGGAGAGGGAGGTTAACGAGGATTGTGTTGATGGTGGGGGGTGCTGATGGTATTGATGTTGATGTGCTGATGCTGATGCTGCTGATGATGGTGATGATGATGACGATGATGATGATGGTGATGATGATGCTGATGATGATCATGATGACGATGCTAGTGATGATGATGTTGCGGTTGTTGCGGATGGTTGCGACCATGATCATGTTGATTAGGTTGATGATGATGTTGTTGTTGATCATGATGGTCATGGTGATGATGACGTTGTTGCGGATGGTGGCGATCATTATGATAATGGTGATGATGATCATGACCATGACCATGACGATGATCATGCTGATGATGGTGATGACGATGATGACGCTGATGCCAATGGTGATGACTTTGACGACGAGCATGAGCATCGTGATGGTGATGATGCTGATGATGGTGATGGTGATGGTGGTAGTGATGGTGATGGTGATGTCGGTGATGACGCTGCTGTTGATGCTGATGCTGGTGTTAATACGGATGATACTGCGGGTGATGATGTTGTTGATGTTTGGTATGCTGATGGTGATGGCAATGATTATCATGGCGATGATGTTGGGTAGTATAAAGACGATAGTGGTTATGATTATGATAATGATGGAGATCGTGATGATGCTGGTGATGCTGATGATGCGTTTGATGATAATGATGATGGTGATGCTGTGGGTAATGATGGTAATAATGATGATGATGATGATGATGATGATGATGATGATGATGATGATGATGATGATAGCGATGATATTGGTGGTGTTGGTGATGATGATGGTGATGATGAGGAGGAGGAGGAGGAGGGGGAGGAGGAGGAGGGCTACCGCGGTGATGATGATGATGATGATGATGATGATGATGATGATGATGATGATGATGATGATGATAATGCTGGTGATGATGAGGAGGAGGAGGCTGAGGATTGTGCTGGTAATGTTGATTATGATCATGATTAGCATGATCATGGTCATGACCATTCGTATGATGATGAGTAGGGGCGGGGGGGCGAGGCCCACGCCAACTCCATGACGGCGCTCAACTCTGTGCCGCGCCAAGATGGCGCCACCCAGGCGGCGAAGGTGGGTAGGCATATCGGGAAGACCTTTCGGCCGATGCTGCTGACCCTGAAGGGGGACGACGACGACAACGACGACGGCGACGACGACGACGGCGGCGGCGGCGACGGCGCTGACGACGACGCTGACGCAGGGATGTTTTGTGGGGTCTCCTCGGAGAGCTCTGGTACGCCTCTGGGGGCAATTCTGGGGCCTCTTGGTAGCATATTGGGGGCTTCTCAGGAGCCTATTAGGGGGCCTCCTGGAGCTTCTTGGGGGTCTCTTGGCGGCCTCGTGGGGACTCGTGGAGGCCTCTTGGAAGCCTCCTGGGAGCTTCTCGGGGCCGGGGGTTCTAACTGGTCGGTCGGATCCCCCGTGTGGACACCCTCTTGGAGCCGTCTCGGGAACCTCTTAGGTTGTCTAGGAGGTCTCTAGGCCGTCTCGGGGCCCTCTTGGGTCGTTGTGGGGCCGTCTTGGAAACCTCTCGGGTGCCTCTTGGCGCGATCTTGGGGGCATCTTGGGCGGTTTTGTGGCGTCGGCACAATCGATCCAAAACCTAGGGGAAGCCATTTAATTTTGCTTGCTAGGGTCATCTTAGTGTGCTCTTGGAGGCCTCTTCGAGCGTCTCGGCAGCCTCTTGGCCCGTCAGGAGGCCATCTCTCGCGTCGTGGACCCGTTGTTCGGCGATTCGGGGCCCTCTTGGACCGTCTTGGGGGCTTTTGAGCACTCTTGGGCCGTCCTGGTACATCCCTGGGCCCTGGGAAGGCCTGGGGAAGATCGTATTTTGACCCGCCCCACCCCCCCGCTACCCCTCTCGCTACCTCTGGGACCCCCATCCCCCCCCCTGCGGGGAAGGGGTCCAGGGAAGGGGCTTCCATTCGACCCAATCACGCTCACGACTCTGCTTAGTTCTATATGTGCCAGCCTCCATGCAGCCGCGGAGTCACGGGGTGTTTTCTCGCCAGAGCCTTGTTCCCTGCTCCGCAGCCTTTTTCAGGGTTCAGCCTGCGTCCGCCAGAGGACGACAACGTTACTGAACTTCGCCTAGCGCTTGAGAAACGTTCTATTCAGAAAGGCTGCCCCGGCAGACGGAACAGCGCCCGACGCACGCGCTGGCAGGGCCGGCGGATTTCCGACCCCGCAGCGGGGCGCCGCCCCCGCAGGGCAACGCCCGCTGGGAGTTAGGCCGCGCGGGCAGCTCCAGCCCCGGGCGGGGACGGCGCAGCACACGCAGAGAGGAGCGGTGGCCGTGGTCGTTTTCGTCGCCATCCGCCTCCACCCCCGCCTCTTCGGCGTCTTCCTCTGCCCCCATCGGTCCTTTCACCTCCTCCTCCTCCTCCTCCTCCTCCTCCTCCTCGTCCTCCTCGTCCTAGCCCTCCTGTAGCAGCGCTGTGTAACAGGGCCCCCAGTGAAACAGCGCGTGCAATGCTGTTGTTTATGCGCCTGGCCGCCCCTTGCGGCTCAAGCTGTTGCGTCGTGGCGGCGGACGGGTGATTTCGGCTGGGGCTCATACTTCCCTCAGTTAGCCTCCGCCCCTGCAGCGCCCGTGTCAGGCCTTGACAAGCGGCTCCCCGTGTGCCCTGGCGATCTCGACGACCGCCATCGCGTGCCTCTCGCAGACCCACGTCTGGGGGGCGCCCGTGCCGCTAGGCTCGGCGGTGATCGGCGCGGCCGTGAGCTTCCTGCTTGGTATTTTCGTGGTCCTGGCGTTGCAGGCGACGGTGTGTGACTTCCTCCTGTCGACAGGTTCTTGTTGGGCAGTTCTTGCCGAAGAGCTGACGTACCTTCGAGGGCGACACCAGCGGCGAAGGATGGCGCCCAAGAGGAGAGCCGCCAGGCGGGCCTTGAACCTACAGCCAGGGGGCGTCATCTTCGTCGACTTCGGCGAGGTGGGGGAACCCTGGCATGAGTGGGTGATCCTGGCCTGTGTCTCGGGGGCCACATAAATCATAGTCACACCAGACGGGACGTCTACGAGGAGACCTTCGACATGAACAACGTTGCGGACTTCAGGCAGGCGGGGCCGCGCGGCGGCCTGCCGCCTGGGCTGGGCGCGGCTCGCGGGCAGCCGGTGTACCGCTTCCGCGGCAGGCTGGAGGGGGAATGGTTGGACGAGGTGCTGAAGGAGGGCGCGGCGCTGGCGGCCAGAACCCGCGAGGAGATGGGCTTGCCGATCGAGGAGCCTGGGCCCGAACCTGGGCAAAGGGTGCCGCTGGTGCCTCCAGAGGAGCCGCCACCCGCGGCAGGACGCCCGCGTGCGGACTGGTGCTGTGTCAGTGGCTCCGGCGAGGCCCGCAAAGGCAAGGTGGTTTCGCTGCCCGATGTGCTGGACACTCCTTCGGGGTACTTCGTTGGCACAGGGCGGTACGTTGTCTACGACGTGGGGCGCAAGGGCCAGAACGCGGTGATGGTGCGCTTGGAGGAGGGGGAGAAGTCAGAGGAAGCAGTGCAGATGATGTCGTCGCTGGCTGCCCCTGCAGATCTACCGATGGGAGCGCGGACACCGCCAGCGGTCCCAGAGGACGCGTGGACGCTGGCGATCTTGCGTGATTCGGTGGGGACGGGGTTCCGTACCTTGAGGGGTGTGGCGGAGAGTTCGGAGAAGAGCGACTTCGACGACTGGGTCCTGTTGGGGCCAGGGACGACGCTGTATGTGGTTTCGGAGATCGCCAAGATGAGCGGGGGCCCGGCGCAGCGACACACGACGTGGAAGCACGAAAATATGCGGAACGATGACGAGCACGGCGTCGTGGCCCACGAGATGTTGTCGGGGATCTTGGAGCTGGCCTGCGCGCGCGACCAGGTGGACGTGGCCAACCTGGCCAACCTAGAAGCACTAGCGCGGCGCATGTAGTTCATAGAACATAAATCGACTACACGTAAGAGTGACCTTCGCCGGAGTGACCTTTGGCGCGGGCCCACTGGGGCCCCCCGACCACCGAGCGCGATGCGACAGCATCGGCTTGTGCGCTTGCGTTTGGCCCCCCCGCGGCACCCAAAAAGCCGCGCACCAAAGGTCACTCTCACCCGGGGTCACTCTTGCGTGGGGCCGAACAAAGTGAAGAAGAAGAAGGAGGCTGGCAAGGATTTCGACACTCAGCAGTACTATCTGGGCAGGGCGCGCCGCGCTGGCGGTGCGATCGCGTGCCCGGAGCTGCTCAAGTGGGTCGCCGAGTCGGCGGCCAGGGATTCGGCGATCTTCAAGGAGGAGCGCAAGGCGGCAGAGGAGAGGGCTCGGCACGTGCTCCTCCTAAGAAGTCATGGAGATGGACGAGGCCGGGGAGTGACCGACCTCAGCCAGCACCAACAGGCCGCTGGAACGCACGGTGCCGAGGGACTTGCCACCGCTGCCCACGGCGCCGCTCAACCCAGCTCGCGGGTCGAGGGCCCTTCCCCGGCGCGCCGCGCAGAAGCTCGGCCGAGAGATTGCCATCGGCCGCCGCGCGAACGACTGCATCGCCGCCCGCAACAACCTGCGCGGGGGCGGCGTCTTTTGCTCGGAGGCCCGCCCTTCGAAGGCGGAGTTTTCAGCTGTGGATGTGATTTGGGCGGCGGTCGCCGACGACAGGCCGCCCGCGGACGGCCCCAGCCCCGAGGCAGCCCTGAAGGAGTTCCTCCGCTCGGACTCTCTGGGCTGCAATCCAGATGGTCCCATGGTGGTTGCGCCGTGCGATCGCGATCTGGTCCCATGGCCAGAGTCGGCGGGCGGCGCGGGCTTGCCGGAGGCGCAGCCGGAGCCAGATCGCCAGAAGGCGGTCGACGGAGAGAGAGAGTTCGCTCTTACTTCGCGCTGACGAGGTCCGCCCCGGCGCCGCCGAGGCGCGTTGGGATGAGACCCTGCGCAACAACAGAGGCGAGTACGTGGCCTGTGTCCAGGGCCTGTTGCGGTGGGACATGGTCGAGCTGCACACGCGTCGTGATTTTGAAGCGGGGGTATTCTTCGCGAAGAAGAAGTCGGGCAATATTCGCTTGATTGCGGGCGCGAGGGCGGCCAACCAGGCGCTGAAGCGGCCCAGCTCGATCCATTTAGCGTCGACGGCGGCGCCGGCGTGCCTGGGGGCGAAGGCCGATGACCAGCTGGAGTTTTCTATTCAGGACATCGCCGATTGTTTCTACCAGTTCAGGGCGCCGGATTACATGACCCCATGGTTTGGGGTGCGTCCGCTTCGGGCGCGCGAGCTGGACGTTGAGGAGTTGCAGGGTTAGGCCGTGGCCAGTGGTGCTTGGGTCCACCCATGCCTGAAGGCGCCGCCCGCGGGGCTCTCGCGGGCGATGCGGTGGACCGAGCAGGCGCATCGCGAGCTGCTTCGCCGCGGCGGGCTCGGCGGCCTAGAGCGAGCTGGCGGGCCGCCAGCTGGCCCCAGAGGTTGGCGCCCAGCTGGTGCCGCGCGTGGCGCGCGTCGACAACGAGATCACTGCGTCGTCCCAGCCTGGTGCGACCAGGCAGGCGCGTAGGCAAGCCGCCGCGGTGATGGCTCGGGTCGGGCTGCCGCTGCGCGAGGTGGAGGAGGGCCATGCGCGGTGGAGACGCCGGGGCCGGAGCTGGGCGGCATCCAGCCGAAGGCGCGGGCACAGCGCCGGCGGCTGCTGCAGGGCGCGAAGGCGCTCCTGCGGCGCAGGCGTGTTGCAGGACAGGAGGTGGAGGAGCTGATCGCCCACTTCGCGCGCGCGATGCTGCTGAGCAGGCCTGCTCTGAGCGCTTTCAGATCGGTTTACGATTTCGCGAGGCGTCGCTACCGGGGCCCGTCGCTTTGTGGCCCTCGGCGAGGCAGGAGCTGCGCAACGTGATGAACTTGCTGCCGGTGCTCGTGGTCGAGTTCAGCTTGCTGCGGTCCGGGCCGGTGACCTGCTCGGACGCCACGCTCAGGGGCTGCGCCGTGCAGGAGGCCGACGTCGACCCGAGAGCAGTGCGTGAGGTGGGGCGCTGGAGCGAGCGCCGGTGTTTCCGCGTCGCTCCGTTGGCGCTCGGCTGTCAGGGCGTCGCAGAG